CTCTACGACTTTGATTTTCTGTAAAAATCATGGACTATATATTTGGTATAAAGCATATCTAACCCACATTTATTTTTCTTTTAATTTATAAACAAAAATGCTTTTTTATCTATAACTGAAAAAAGTAATAATCTTTCTTTTTTTCTATAAAATAGAAAAAGGCTGAAAAGAAATTCGCCTATATTATAGAGGAAAAAATAGAAAATACATTGGAGAACATCTTAATGTTTAAGATGTTATTCAAGGTTAAGAAAAAAGAAATATGAGTAAAAGAATACAAAAAATAAAGAAGAACAATTTTGATCAATTTTCTGTTTTTTTTATTTAAAATATTTGAAAATATTATCTTACTCATATTAATTCTTTCATGCATATATTTTTTTCAACATATTATTTCATGAATCAAGTTTTTTATATGTTTTGATCCATTATTTTTTATATGAACACATATATTAAAGTTATGGACATAAGAACTCTTATTTTTTAATATAACAATCAAATATTAAATATTGTTTTACACTTTAAAATCATAACACACATCTACGTTTACGATCCGACTGGTTAAAATGTTACAGTTACAGAGAGTTTGTAGAAGCGAGTGATTATGGTTAAAAACGTTGTTAAGCGATTTGTACGACTGGTATAACGATTAGAAATGGCTGCATTTGCAGAATACTTACGACTGGTTGACTTGCATTTGCAGTAGCGGGTAAACAATAATTTAATAAAATAAATATAATATATAATTATAAAAAACATCAAAACTATATTAATGTTTGAAAATATAAAATTATTAATTTAAAAATTAATGACAAAACTATAAAATTAATATATGTATAATACTTACATTTATTATTTATTTATTTTTCAGCTTGGATGAAAGTAATGATTTCTAATAAGATTTTTTTTTGTAAAGATTAAAATTAGGTTAAGAGAATTTTAGTTGTTAGATATTAGTGATGAAGAGAAAATTTGGTTTATAAATCTTTTAAATATAAAGTTATGATAGGTTATTAGTGAATGTTAACTAAAATATATTAAATTTGTTTATATATATTTTATGATTATAATATGTAAGTTATATTTTTTTTCTAAAGATCATTATATATAATATTAGGATTTTAAATAAATTTTATTGTGTATCCACAAACACCTGTAACCGCGAACACTTGTGGAAGTGAGCTTTTAATTTTTGAGGGATCTACTATGGTTCAAAGTGGTAGAAAGTCTTTGAGATGATTGTTGTCAAACGTTAACAACCAATACCACCCGTAAAAGCTGCGCCTGCGGGTATTAGTGGGAGAACCAATCAAGCTTAGCAACCGTATATTCTATCAGTCATGTAAAATTAGTTTACGTTATCTCTTTGACATTAGAACTATATGGGGTTCTTGGTATGTTCGCTATTGATAATCATATTATATAAATATCTAAGGTGAGGAAAAAATATACCTTAGCTCTGACAGCATTATTCCTTCAGATAAAAATACATTGAATGTTGTGGATTACTTAACTGAGTTTTTGAATAGCATTAAAGTTTTTAGATTACCGCTTGAAATTAAAGGTTAGTGCTCCAGTCATGTATCTTGGTAATATTGATCCTAAGGGTAGAATATGCAATGGAGTTAGACTTAAAATTACTCAAATGGCTCGATATATGGTTGAAGGTAGAATTATAACGGGAAATGAAAAACTGATTGGTCAAATAGTTCTAATCCCTAGGATGTATATGACACCACCAGACACAAGGTTTCCATTCAGAATGCATCGTAGACAATTTCCTTTGACTTTAAGTTTTACAATTACCATCAACAAAAGTCAAGGACAATCACTTTAGAATGTTGGTTTGTTTATACCTAGACCAGTTTTCTTAGAAACAGCTATATGTGGCATTATCTAGAGTTGAGTTTAGATTCAGACTTAAAGTTCGCATAACATACAAAGAAGAAAATATGCAAAAAAAGACTATGAACGTCGTCTAGAAGAAATGTTTCAAAATCTAGCTTAGTTTTTATGCTTTTGATATATTTTTACTATATTTATTGTATATCTTAATATTACTGTTTATTTATTTATCATATTTACAGTTTTAGTTTATGATTTTCTATTATTAATTTATATTAAAATCTATAACACTTTTCATTTGATCTATGATTATTATTTATTATTTAATGTTCATACAATATTATTTCTTAAAACATAATTAATCATATATAAATATTAATAAATCAATATACAATATCAATCATATATTGAACATATAAAATGTTTTGTAGTCCGCACACGGTGCGAACCAATTACCTAGTACAATATATAATGCTAATATTCAAATAATGTAAACTTTTCTAAACATGTAAAAGAAATATACTAATAATAATATCGAAGTCTAAAATATTTTTCTTTCAGGTTTATGAACTTCACTACAAAAACGATCCGTAAGATACACATCTTTCTTTCCAAGTTACTCCAGTAGTTCCCCGCATAATAAAATGGTATGCAAAATCATGATACAGAACACGTATCATATCGAGGACGAACAAACACACCAGCCGACTCCTCTGGAAATAAATTTCAATATAGAGATAAAACTTTAACTCATCTTTTGTTTTATATTAAAGGGAATAACAACATTGTCTGAGTACAAACTTCTACAACTCTACAAATAATTGTTTTTGTCGCCAACATTAGTTCTTAAATTAAATTAGGAATGACCTAATAACATGAAAGTACAGTATAAGTTCCTAAAAGAAAAATCAAACTCCTGCGTAATAGTAGAAGCCAAAAGATGTAGAAAATTCTGAGAAATTTTTAAACAAAAGAATAAATCTCAAAAAATAAAAACAATTGTGATAACTCAAACCCTTAAAGCTCAATTATCATTAGACCTCACGATATTGAAAACCAAACTTTTAAAAAAAAAGAACCCATTAACTATCTTTTTCATTAAAACTCTCCGTGAACACAAACTATGTCATCGTTTGGATCATCATTTTCATCGTTTTTATCTTTGATCACAAAAATAAAAATCTTATGCAAAATTTAAAGAATCATTTTTTTTTTGTCGTCAATTTGATTTCATTAACCCACATGGGGTAGAGTAGAGAAACATTTTAAAGGCTCATTACAAATCTAAAGAAATTAAAGCCCAACAGGACCAAAATACTATCTAACTACACGTGGTCTGAAACGTGTAACCTAATAAACAAAAACAAGAACACGTGTCGAAAGGGAGACGACAACTGCAGCTTCCGATCTTCCATCATCGGCGGCCACCGCTAGAGCCTGCCATCGCCTGAAACCTCATCAATCAGAAAACTGCTGCCGAAGATCTCTGCTCCTTCCTTTTGCATTTGAAAGTTGGAGAGATTGCAAGATCCATACCTAAACCGCCAGAAATTAAAACAGCAGGAAGCTTTGGAGGAGAGAACTCAAACTTCGCCGGACCGCTGTTAAACGCCAGCTCTACAGAAACTGATCCAAACCACCAATTAACCTCCTTAGCTCTCGATTCAAATATTTCACAAGAGAAACTCCACTTGAATTAATCATATAACTGCTATAAGAAAAATATTTCTCCGAAAGTAAGCAAATCAAGCTTGATCTGACGGAAGAGAGAATTTTACAATATCAACCAGAATTCACAACTTTCAAAAGAAGTTGTTAAAAGCATGCAAAAGGGAATTAACAAAACAAAAGTCTGATTGACGGAAGAAAAGAAACAGAAGAAAAGCCGGACATAGCCGGAATTTATAATCCGATCAAACGGAAAACAAAAGTCGCTCTCTCTCTGAAAGATACGAAAGAGAGAAGAGAGAGAGAGTCTAAATTTAAAGAATCATAATCAAATGTTTTGATACCACGTAGAATATTATAAAATATGATATACTATTGAATGATATTGTTTACTATGAGATCACAAAATAAAATATATAGATCTAACATTAACTTAATGCTAACATCCAAATTATATATGTAAATTTGTTTAGATAATATATTAATAATAATATCTAAGATCTAGAATATTCTTTTCTTGGATTTACTTCACTTTATAAACTATCAGCAAAATCTTGCTTAGCAAGTTATTCCAACAGATCATGATTAAGATTGAAGCTGAAATGGTGTCGTGGAGCAAGTTCTTGATCTTGACAGTCACTGACATTCCAATTTCAATGTATGGGAGTTTTTTCATTGACGAGGACGTCAAGGAGAAGAAGAAAATCGCCATGATTTTTGATAGCCATACAGTTAGCATCATTGGAGAGGATGGATACTTTGGGGAAGTGGGTCTCGGAGTACCAGCAGACGATAGGTGATGGCTACATGTGTGCTCTTCCTAAGTTTAGTGCAAATCAAGCAGCCAACAGGAGGCAAACTAGGCAATTTAGTAAAATATTGATATGACAAAAACGAGATCATTAGTCTCAATTTACAAACTATATAGTTATGTCTATCCTTTGCACTTCTTCTTTGTTATTAATTTGCTTATTTCAATTTATGCAATATGAACAAGATTCAATTCGGCACTTGGACTCAAGATATGAAGCTGTTCTTCTTACATGATGGTTTGCGGCTCATGGTTGATTTGTAAAATTAATCAGATATGAATAAATTTTGTGTTTAACTAAATTTTACATTCTCTTTAGAAAAAAATATGAACAAGATTCGTGAAGATGTTTAAAAACAAAACAGAATAACAATGAAATTATTTCTTTTTCCCATACATTTTATTTGACTGTAAGGCTCAAATTTATTAATTATGTTGGGAGTACTAACGATCAAGATCATGAACCAGCTTTCCTCTGTCTCTTCCTTCTTATGGAGTCGAGGCAGAGCTTTTAAGAGGTTACTGTCTTCTTGATTTCTCTGGTGATCCTCATTGTCTTCATGTGTTTTGTTTTGGTATCAGACGTATTATGAGCTCTACTTACTTTTATGCTACTTTTATGCTTTTATATTTCGAAAGTACGTCTTTATGTGTAGGCAAATTTTTATGAACATCATTGTTAAATATTAAGTCTTTATTTTCCTTTTATTTGCTTTTGTAAATGTATGTAATGTTTATTAGTAATTTTCCTACAGCTATTTCCAATCCATTAAATCTTTGGAGTAAAGAAAACTATAGAACAGAATTAAAGGAATATAGTCTTGCTTACAAAACAAAATATATCTCTTTTTAAGATTCCCAGTTAGGAATATTAGCCGTAGCTTCGTTCACCATTGACACTAATGTAACCTGCATTGTGTTAAGCCAACTTAATGATCAGAACTGTTTAAGAAAAGAAAAAAATGAACCAAATTAGAGAAGATTTGTTGAAACTACTATTTACCACGCTCTCGGGAACACCTTGAGGAGGCAATGTGAGATTTCTCGGGGGCGGTTTATCTCCGTAAGACCGTTTATCGAATCTCCATTCTCCAATCTTACCATACAGTATCTTTCCCTGCAAGTCATATTACCCATAAACGAACAGTATTAAACTAAACTTATCTAATATCTTCTTTAATTTTGTTTTCTTGATTCTTGTTTCATTAGTTTTACGTACCTTCATGTCGAAATCACAGCCATAAGTGTAATGTATTATGTACGTCTTCTTTGATTCAGTGTCCCAAGGAGGCTACACCAACAGAAAAAAACATGACTTGTTATGTTCCAAAAGTTTGAAAGTTTGTTAAACTAGATAAAGCTTATTGATCAAAACCTGAATCATGAAGTCTTTGTGTAGAATGTTGCTTACGCCGTGTAACGCCGAAGAAACAGCATATGCATACCTTATAATATAAAATCATATACATAGACCAATTAATCTAACAGAATAGTCTAGAATTTGAGATCAAATTTGACTAGAAAGGAATTTTACATTTCAAGGACCCATCCAAAAGCTTTATCAGTTTGTGGATCATTCTTCATAGCTAAAGAAACGTTCATCCATGTTGGAGCAATTTTCTTTAATGCATTCTAAAAAAGCAAATAAATTTTTAGTCATGGAACCAAATATAAGACTTTCTGGAAATGTAGATATGATACCTTAGAAACAATCACGGGAGAATTCCCAATGGGATCGATTCTTGATATCGGTCCATACTCCTTTGGAAAGAATTTGCGGATAACCGATTCATAATTCTTTGGTTCAATGTAGAAAAAGTGAAATGCAGCTCCGAGATTGCCTCGTGCCAGGTTCGGTATCGGTTTAACTATGATGTGATCAGGTTCCGCCATGAGAATGTAACTGACATGATGATCAAAGAAACAGGAAAGTATCTGAACATCAAAAGTGGCTTTCCCCTGCCTAAATATGGGGGTTGGAATAGACAAACACTAACTACGGGGTATTTTTTAAAATTAAAATCAAGAGAAGGGTATCAAAAAGAGTATTATGAATATTAGGGACTGAGAATGTAAGATGATACATACTCTTCCTCTATATGTGCTTGTTGGAGCCATTGCACAAACGCCCAAGGCCTATTTAGAACTACATATCCCTGCACATTACACATAACTCATCATCAAATCAATGTTTGTGTTAACATTTCTTACAAATATGTTCATCATCCTTGAAATAAAGTTTACACATACATTACCATTTGTTTCTATACCATTTTGTTAGAATCCAATAGGATAATGAAGATGGTTTTGTTACAACTTTTGATAAATCAAGATCTAATATTGGTTTTATTAATGTAACTAGTTTTCATTATGAACCTCAAAATTTAAAAGTAACATCTAAAATCAGAGCAATAGATGAAATAATGAACCTGATCAACACCAGAGGGAAGAGGGTTAGCCACAAAGGTAGGGATCTCTTCCATGAGCCCATCGGGTCTACCCGAATGCAATATCCGGGTATACCCGCCCATCTCCGAACCGGGTTCGTCCTTAAACCTGTTGTACCAATAGTACATGATCCGACACTGCCACGTGCTGTAAACAGAGTCCGTGGCTGTCACCGCCGTGTGAAACAGTCTCTTCGTCCTCTTTGACGGAGTCCTGACTGAAGATATGACGTCATCTCCAGATGAAAATGAACGGCGACCAGGGAGATCTTGCCGGAGAGGAGGATCACCAAAGACTATGTAGTTGTATCTGATTATTAAAAATAATGATAGAGTCATGAGAATTGGGAAGAAGAATTTCCCTCGGAAACCCATTTTTGTTTTTCTTTTTCTATATCAAAAACTTATTCATGTACTTATGCATTTGATTTTGAATGTATGTTTGTGGAAAAGAAGACATAATAAGAAAGTTTCAATTTGTAGAAAAAGTCGTCGCTTAGTTTTGTTATTGAGAAATGAAGAGTAGTTGTCAGAAAGTGGTTGGTCCCACAACGTTCTGGTCTTCGTTTTTCTGTTTATTATGAATTATGATTTGTTGTTTGATAATTGTATTTGTATGTTATTCAATATGATTCCAACTATTATTGATTTCTTTGTGTTCTTTCTCTTATGGCAACCGAACACACTTGTTCATTAATTAAAAGTGCTAATAAATGGTAAGTCTGCCTTAACGTTATTTGTCCTGCTAGTGTGAAGTTAGAGCATTTCCATTGGGTAAGTCTTTCACCACTGTATTTCATTTGAATTTTATTAGTATATTTTAATATTTTAATTAAATCTTAAATAAAAAAGAAAATTAAACCATTCAAAGAGAGTTAAGGATTGAGTTACATCTTCAAACATCTATACTATAAAAGATGGCCAACTCTCTCCATATGAGTGTCACCTCATCATTTTGGTTTATTGTGGAAATGACATGTGGTTATTTTTAAAAATTTAATGATATAAATTATATAAAATATAGTTAATGCATAAATTTAATATATTAAATATGAAGAATTAGATATTATATTTTAATAACAATATATATATAATATCCAAAACAATTATTGAGTATCTATTTTTGGTAGTTTTTAAAAATAATTAACAAATTTATGTTTTATTTAAGAATGTTTTCTTATTTTTAATTAATATTATAAGATATTATTATAAAAACAATTATACAAATATAAAAATAAAAATTATTTGATATTTTGAACCTTAAAAATTTAGAAGAAAAATTTATACAATATTATAATAAACTTTAAAATAATTTTTTATAAACTAATAATTATTTGATAATTTATTTTATTCAAACTTGATCCATTAATAATTTTAAAATTAATAAGATATCAAAGTCCAAATATATATATATTTATAAAATATTTAATGCAGCTGTATAAATTAGAATTATAATTCAGTTATTTAAGCTCATAAAAATATAAAACCACGACATTAATATTGTGTAAATGTACGCCGTGAACAATTACGACCTGTTAAAAAGAGTCGTCTCAATCTATGTTGTGCTTGAAGAGTTTCTCTAATTAATTTTTGTTATATAGTACTTGTCTGATTTGCACTATATCTATTTAATATATTCTATATAAACAAGGTATAATATATTTCATATTTTCTTATTAATAAATTATTGATCACATATATAGTTAATATCCACATAATATGTAAATATGTATTGTATGTATATTCATATACACAATATCCTTTAAAAAATTTTAAATATACGATAAAATAAATTGTAACTACACTTTTTAATAAATTATTTTGTGAAAAAATATCCGCGCATCGCGCGGATACTCATCTAGTTTCCTTAATGAGAGACGTTTCTCCTTTTTTTTTTTAATTTGTTGGACTTTAGTAATAGAAGATTAATCTGATTCGGGCTTAAACCAAAACTGGTCATGTTCAATTAGAGTTGTTAGTTATTGATTTCTTTTTGATTTACAGTTTAGTTGTTACCTGACTGATACTATCTAATTATTATTAGTATATAGTTAAAGCGTGAATGTATATATCTGTTAGATTAAAGATTGGAGCTGTAACTAAGAGAGAAAAAGATCTTGTAATCAGAGAAGAAGATAGTGGATTATTGGATAATTTCCAGGCCGAGATGTAGGGTTTCACATTCCATGAACCTGAACTCGTAAAATCTTTGTGTCATTACGTTTCTGCATTCTTGTTTTTTCTCAGTTCAAGTTCTGAGTTTTATCTTCTTCAAGAAAGTTTGTGAGGTTGTGAGTTTACAAAACAGAAGTTTAACCGAGGATTGATTCGCTACAAGTGGTATCAGAGCCGTGTTGAAGCAATGAGTGAAGCAATGGTGAAGGTCACAGCCGCCGAGTTCGATGGCACCAGAGATTTCTCAATGTGGAAGAAGAGGATGCTCGCGCATTTGTCACTCATGGGTCTCAAAGATGTCTTAACCGAGACGATCCCAGAAGCAAAGGCGATGAAGAAAGGCGAAGATCCAGAGGCTTTCAAAAAAAGATTACAGCTCGAAGTTGTCAACAGGCTCGAGCGAGCTGAAAGACCGATGAACATGTTGGTTCTGAATCTCTCGCATCAGGTTCTAAGAAAGCTGGAAGAATACACTACATCCAGTGAAATTTGGGCAGCTCTTGAAAAATTGTATAACGTGCAAACGCTTCTGAATCAAATTCATCTTCAGCAAAAGTTCTACACTTTCAAAATCAATCGATCAGAATATCGATAATTTCTTGAAGCTTGTATCTGGATTAAGCAGCGTGAAGGTCATTGTGAGGAAGTACAAGCCATTCTGCTTTTAAATTCATTTCCATCGATGTACAGTTCTCTGAAGGAGACTTTGAAATACGACAGAGAGACTCTCACCATTGAATCACTCACGAATGCAGCTAAGTCCAAGGAGATAGAACTAAGAAAAGCTAAAGATCTTGGTAACTCTTAGAAAGGTGGAGAAGCTCTTGCTGCTCGTGAAAGATTGAAAAGGAGAGAATCTGGAAACAGAAAAGGGCAGAGCAGATCAAGATCAAGCTCATGCTCAAAGGTGACTTGCTGGTATTGCAAGAAGGAGGGCCACAAGAAAGCTGATTGTTATCCTCGAAAAAGGAAGATGGAGTCTAAAGAAGGTGCTGAAGCAGCTGTTGTGATAGATGCATTCCAAGACAGCAATGCTCTGACGGTTTCAGGGGACTGGCACCATGACAAATGGATCACAGATTCAGGATGTTCTTACCACATGACATCAAGACGTGATTGGTTTGATGAGTTTGAAGAGCTAACATCAGGAAAAGTTCTTTTTGGTGATGACTTTTCGGTGGAGGTCAAAGGCATCGGATTTATAAACATCAAAGCCTACAAAGGTACAGTTAAGACCCTATCCTATGTCAGGTATGTTCCTAAACTAAAAAGGAATCTTATGTCGACTGGAACCTTGGATAGATTATGTTCTGAATATGCTGGTGGAAATGGAAAGACTAGGTTCTATAAAAATGAGAAGCTAGCTCTTCAGGGAACTCTTGTTGGCACTTTGTATTTGTTGAATGGTGAAACTGTAGCAGGTGAATCAAACAGCAATGTTTCAAAAAAGCTGTCAAAGGATGAGACGGTTCTCTGGCACAGACGTCTTGGGCATATGAGCTTGAAGAATCTGCGGATCCTAGCTCAGAAACGGATCCTAGCTCAGAAACGGATCATAGAAAAGAGAAGGATTGGAGATCTGAGTTTCTGTGAAAGTTGTGTGATGGGAAAACGCAAGAAGACAAGTTTTCACATCGGCAAGCATGATTCAGGGGAAGCTCTAAAGTACATTTACTCAGATTTGTGGGGGTCTCCGAATGTAACACCAAATATGTCAGGGAAGACGTATTTTGTCTCAATCATAGATGATTATATAAGAAAGGTGTGGGTGTTCTTCTTGTCTACAAAGAATGAAGCATTTGAAAAGTTTGTTGAATGGAAGAAGATAGTTGAGAATCAAATCAGCAAGAAGGTTAAGTGTCTCAGGACTGATAATAGCTTGGAGTTCTGCAACACTGAATTTGATAATTTCTGCAAACAGCATGGAATTGAAAGGCACATGACGTGTGCGCATACACCTCAGCAGAATTGTGTAGCCTAACGTATGAACAGAACGATAATGGAGAAGGTTTGTTGAATATTAGATGAGAGCGGCCTGGAAGAAGTATTTTGGGCACATGCAGGGTCTATTGCAGTGTACCAAATAAACAGAAGCCTCTCATCAGCCACTGACAGCAACATTCCAGAAGATTTGTGGCTTGGGAAGAAGCCTGAGTACAAACACCTAAGAAGGTTTGGTTATGTGGTCTACGTTCACAAGGATTAGGGAGAGCTGAAGCCAAGGGCTTTAAAGGGTATCTTCTTAAGCTATCCACCAGGAGTAAAAGGTTATAAGGTGTGGCTTATAGAAGAGCAAAGATGTGTGATTACTCAGAATGTTATGTTTGTGGAGGACAAAGTCTACAAAGACTTAAAAGATGGTCAAAATGAGAAGGTTTCAGAGGCTGCAAAAGAGGTTAACGGTCAAGTTAAGACTGTTATGGGAACAAGCGTCAGTTAAGGGAACCAGAAAGAGAGTAACTCCTCAGGTGGAGCAGCTGAATCAGCTCCGGTTTATGTAAGTAGAACTGAGTCTGATGAAGATGGTTCCGTTGGTGAGTCTACTCTAGGAACAGTTCAGCGTAGCAGTCGTCACGTAGCAAGAGATAGATTGAGAAGATAAATTGTCCTCCCTGCGAAGTTCAACGACTATGACATGTCATCGTTTGTTTTTATCAGATGAGCCAAGAGATTATCAAGAGGCTATAAGAAGCAAATACATAGATCTGTGGGGTGGAGGTATGGATGAAGAAATGGATTCACTAGAAAAGAATAAGACTTGGAGGCTAGTGGAAGGGCAGACTAACAGAAAAGTATAGACTGTAAATGGGTATATGGACTGAAACCAGGTATACCAGGAGTGAAAAAGCCAAGACATAAGGCTAGATTGATGGCAAAGGGATACTCACAAGAGGAAGGTATCGACTACCAGGAAGTGTTTTCACCAGTTGTGAAACACGTCTCCATAAGGTTATTTTGTCTATAACAGTTAATCAAGATCTTGAGCTTGAGCAGCTTGATATGAAGACAACATTTCTTCATGGTCTTATAGAAGAAGAGATCTACATGGAGCAGCTAGAAGGCTACAAGGTTAAGGGAAAGGAGAAGCAAGTATGTTTGCTGGAAAAGGCCCTTTACGGTTTGAAGCAAGCTCTAAGCCAGTGGAATAAGTGTCTTGATCAGTATGTTGTTAGTCATGGTTTTGAAAGGAGTGAATTCGATCATTGTGATTACATAAAAAGGGGGAAAGGTGGAGCAC